ATGTGGCATTGGGCATGTGTCATGGCTGCACTGTCGCGGAAAATGTGCATTTCACTTTCTATCAGCGGTTGCCTAATGGCAGTTTAATTATTGTAAGCATGGAAATGACATGCGGCGTGCCCCTAAATATCGCAAAAATACCATTTCCCAATGCTCTGCTTGTTTTCCTTTTTCTTCTTTTTGTTTTTTAAATCATTTTTGTGTTTTTTGTGCTTTGCCTGTTTTATACCCTGTCCATCTGACTGTCGCGTGGATATTCAAACACTACCAGAGCTAGGTACAAACTAAACTATGTATTAAAGTCGCCCTATTTCCCGTGCAGATCATTTCAAATCCACGATATATCACCCTATTTCTCCAAAATCGATTTGCAGTTTAGTTTTTTGAGCATAAACCATGTTTATATTATATTATATAATACAGAGATCTTAGATATTTCTCCGTTAGCCCCACGTTTAAAAAGTTCTAGTTGCAAATATTTATTTGTACATGTGTGAGTTCGCATTTGTACGTTTATGTCAGATTAAAATAGGGTACCTTCTAGTCGGATAATTAACTAGAACACTCTCTTGTTTGTTTATCGTTTTATTTGGCAGCAATTACGCAACATGGCGTCGAGGGCTTAGACACTCAAAATAAATAAACAAACAAACAGAAACAAGTGAAAAAGGAACCAACATAAAAATGTCTGGCAATCAACAGCAGCAACAACAACAGCAACTACAACAGAAACCACAACAGCAACATACATTAGCAGCAGCAGGATCGCCGAGCACTTTAGGCAATAATTTGATAAAAATTAATAGCGTTGACAAAATTGTACAGAAAACGACAGCTACAACAACAACAACAGCAGCAGCAGCAGCAACTACAGCGGCAACGACAACGACGCCGCATGCAATTAGCAAGCAACAACAATTACAGCAATTTCAGCAAAGACGCTCATTGCTGCCAGCAGCAGGGCAGCAAAGCGTAACAGTAACGCCAGCAGCGGCAGCAGGGCAATCGCATCAGCTGCAAACTGTGGCAACAATACACCAGCAACACTCAACCCTGCAGCAGCAGCAACATACGCACGCAACAGCATCGCGTCTGCCCATACAGCAGCAACAACAGCAGCAACAGCAGCAGCAACAGATTGCTAGCAATTCCAAGGAGCTGGCAGCCCATTCACAGTTGCCATCCACGCGCCGTAGCTTCTACCAACTGCAACAACAGGCAACGCTCAAGGCTGCACATCTAAAGGCGCCCGCACACTCTATACCCCCTCGCTACCAGCCTCCCCCACAGCCGGGGTCAGGTGGCAGCATACTAAAGCCTCACTTGGCACTTAAATATCCGCCAGACATACCGCAGTTATCCAGTATATATATACCTGATTCTGTTAAGCAACACCAACAACAGCGGCAGCAGCAACAGCAGCAGGCACGCTATCTGCACCAGCAGCAACAACAGTCCAGCAAGGCACAACAGGATATGCTGAAGTTTGTGCGTAAGCAGGAACAGGAACATCCGTCGCCCAGTGCTTCGGTCACGTCCAGCGTGGCCACGGGCATACCAACAGCCAATGGTGGACGATTAACAATCGAACAAAATCGACAATTACAGGTAATTTCAATGCAAATCTGTGATTATCTATTTACCTATCTATTAAATTTTAACAGTCCCTGGTAACTGAGCTCCGCGCGCTGAAAGAGCAAAATCAGCGTCTGCTGGATGACAATCAGGAACTACGCGATTTGTGTTGTTTTCTGGACGATGATCGCCAAAAGGGTCGCAAGCTGGCACGAGAATGGCAGCGCTTTGGGCGATATACGGCCAGTGTAATGCGTCAAGAGGTAGCAGCTTATCAGGTTAGTTAGGGATAAAATAGCAGCTGGAATAAACGACATCTGATCGCTAGCATTTACTTATTTTGTATTGTAGTTGTTTTACTTGTCGTATCCTTGGAGATAATATTTCAGTTTCGTTATTATGAAATAAGATTAAAGATTTAAATAAATACCTAACCTTATTAATACTCTCATACTTTCGGTCAGAACAAACTGCGACAATTGGATGACAAGCAACAGGAGTTGATCACCGACAATCTGGAACTGAAGGAGCTATGCTTGTATTTAGATGAAGAGCGTGCCCATGTGGCCGCCAATGCACTCTGTGCTGGCTGCGGTGCGGCCACGCGCAACGCGCTGCGCGATGATGGAGACGGATCCAGTTCAAGCACCAACGCGGACGAGACAATCACAGCGCTGCGCAACTATGCAGAACAAAGGCAATTGCCGGTAAGTGAAAATAATATAAATACGAGAATTCGGTGTTTCAATCTGTTGCTCTGCTAAATTCTGTGCAGGATTTGCGCAACGCCCACACGCTCAACGATCAGACGTTGCAATACGTGCGCTCGCTGGAGCGACGCATACAGCAGTTAGAAGAGGAACGCACTGCGCCCACGGCTAATCTGCAACAGCCACAGGCTCAACCAGCAGCACCAGCCAAATCAGCGCCCTCACCACACACACACACACAGCAGGACATAAGTCAGGCGGTGGCCGCGGCTGCGGCGGCCGCTGCCGCTTTGCCCGAACCAATTTCTGGCCGACCGGAAGCTGTTGTTCGAGCCCTACAGGTCCTAGAGGTGAGGGAGCAACTGGAACGCGATCGCCTGGGCAATCTGACGGGCTGTGCGCTCGACCAGATGGACGATGGCGAGAAAGCGCTAGTGCGCGAGATGTGCAACGTGGTCTGGCGTAAGCTGGAAGGGAGTCCCCACGGTCCCACAGCCCTAGAGCCGTTATAGGCATTTAAATATTTAGACAACACATACACAAAAATTACTTGGCTAACAAACTTACTAAACGCATTGTACAAAGTTCAAACTATGACTTAAGATTAAGCGCTTTATTTAAAAAAGAAATACTCAAAATACCTATTTTTTGTAATCCTTGACTGTTATATTTTTTATTTGATGAATGCACTGCTAATGTTATATATCAAGCCTTTTTAATATTAACTGAGTGCGCATCCAGTAGCTTTCTAAACTACTGTATGAGATGTCCTTGAAATAGAAAACAACAAACATTTCCATAATAAAATGATTTTTCTTTATTATTTGGTCCAAAACTTTGTGCTCGTGTATATTCGAAAGTCGATATTTCCCAGAGACAGAGTCAAGGGCACATTTTGTTGTGTTCTTGGCTTCATGGCTCCAAGATAAGCAGCTGGCTATAAATTTCTCTTTGTCTATAGTCTGTAGGTGGGAGATGTAGTGTAACGTATATAAAACTCGGCCCAGAAAGCAACCCTCATGTACAGCGAGTTTTATGGACGACTAAGCGCCTTCACAGGTCACGTAAAATTCCTGCCATCCAGATATAACTAGGTAGTAGAATGTAGGAAGCGAGTGCTTCTTTTCCATTATCCTTATAGCAACACTCTGTCGAACATCCTGAAAAGCAGCCGATTGGTACTGTTTGTTTTTAAAATCCAGTTCGACTCGCCCATTTGGAGCCTACACTCAAAATAAATTGGAATATCGACGAACGAAGGGGAGCGGAAGCCACTGAGATTAAGGGAATGAAGGAATCCCTCCTCAACAAGCTGACTGGACAGACGTTCATTCTCGACCACTGCAACCCTAATATTCTTTTGCTAAGAGATTTTTTATTTTCTTCATTAATAAACTGTACCCGTGCCAAAAATATGAGTTTGAGGCCGATAGAATGGTGCAAGTTCTCCTTTCCTCCTAGGGCTTTGACTGCGCGTTAATCTCCAATCTATATGTCAGTCAGTCAGGACGAACAGTTTTTATATAAAGAGTTTTTATATAAAGATCATAAATAATTTTAAAATGCTGCTGAATGAATTAGTTTTCCCAAGCAATGTGGATAATCAGCAGGTTACCCTTTGGATATATCCAAATGTTCTAGTGACAAGCCACAAACTATAAAATAAATCGCATTTACACCGTTTTTTCCGCTGAACTTGTCAGCTTTCTATGGTTTGCTGGCCACTATTTAAAGACTTGCTTGTGGTTCAAGTTTCTGTTGTTGGTTGGAGCCGAGCGTAAGTTACTACAGAGCTGTTTAACCTGATTTTTTTTTCGCCAACCGGAGGCCTCCGTATTGCATTCATTCACAAAACTGACAATAGCAACTTCAACAGAGTTGCCATGATGCAGCACAAATGCAACCCAAATATCAGCTAATTCACGTGTTGTCCGGTCACAGGCTTTTGCAGAATAAGTAAGCCAATTTGCTGTCATTAAACATGCAAGCTTTGTATAAATATAAGGGGATGAGATAAACCGGCTGTATGCGGTTGGGACAACAAGCTGTTCCGATCTATCCATGGCCGTCTGAATGAACTACTCAATTTCGTACACTTTAAGAGCAAGGCACCTCACATCAGGAATGTTGATCAGTTTTTATACACTGATTCAATTAAATAAGAGATCTATAAGGCCAGAAGCACAATATTTTATAGGTAGATTACTGATAACACCTCTAAAGATTGGCCGATATATTATTTGACCATGACGACCCATTCGCCCACAAATTACGAAAATCTTATAGCTTAAAATCCACAGCTTTAGAGTAATAAATTCTCAGAATCTAAAATATTTTGCCAACGCCTACTGGGGCCCATCCGTTGCCACAAATCTGCTGTTTGCATTGATGTGTAGAATAGGATGTTTCGAAGTCAAGTGCTCTCAAAATAGACTTTATGCAAGAGCTGGCTGCTATTAGATAATTAACGGCAAAACATTTTACAACCAAACACAAAACAGCTGCATTTATGAATAGAGGCCTAATTACTAGCGTTTTCTTAAAGCTTTTATTTAACAAGTTTTCTATATACTGCGATTAATTTGATGATAGGCAAATGTCATCAAAGCACAAACACACTAAGAAATGGAGCACATAGCCGAGAATAGTAAATAAATAAACGCAGATTAGAGCCACAACATCGCAACGCCAAGAGAAGCAGCAACATACATTCTGCGAGAGAGGAAAGCTGATCGGGGCAACCACGCATGGCATCCAAACCGCTTGGACAGCTGGAGCTGGTAGGTGAAGCTGAAGCTTAAGCTGGCGACTGGCGCACACTTATCGTTGAGCAACACAACGAAGCGCACGCGCAAAATCGAAACGCTGTAAAAGGAGCAAAACGGTCCAGAGCAGAGAGTGGTCTTGCGGTAGTTGCACATTGCATTGGCATTGGTCATGGAATGGGTAGTCATTAAAATTTCGCCTATGTCTCTGCTAAGCAAGTGCAATAAAATTGTGAGCTTATTACGATGTGCGACTAAAAAGAAAGTTATTGTCGTTGGTGGCCCAGCCGGTTGTTGTAGTACTGCTGGTGTTAAATCTTCTTGGAGCCTGCTGCTAGGTATTTGCATATTCACATTGTGGCTCAACTTTCAGCATTGCGAGGCAGTGCCAGCTTCAGTGCCAGTTGCTGCTACAAATGAATCCGCCTGGCCACCCCTGCGTCAATATGATATCTGGAGCGCTGATTTGAAATCACCATCTTCTGACCAGCAACTGCAAATGGAGCTTGAGCTGGTCGAGACGGAGGACGAGGATGATGCAGCAGCGCATGAGCAGTTGCTGCTGCAGGAAGTGTACAGCATTGGATCCAAGCTTACGCAGAGCGGCGAGTGGAACAGCAATCAAACGAGCAGCAACAGTCGACGTCCCAAGGGTAAGTTGGTCTAGGTCAACACAAAGAGGGTCAAACACGTTTTAAGTAACACGTTCTCAGCAATTTACGATAAGTGCTTTTTGAAAATAGTTTAAATATAATACACAATTCAAGTAATTGTCACTATTGTTATTTTCACAGAGAAACGCAATCTTAAGTCAAGTTCTGATTTAGGGTTACATTTTAAGAGTACCCAATAATAGTCAAGAAGCCTCATTTTGAGTGAGACAGAATTTGATTGAAACGTGCTCACGTTTATATACCGTGCTGTAAAATGTAGTTAGTAATATTAATATTTCTCTTGTTGCAGTAATACATCTATTTGCAGTGCCCGTAGATGGCGAGTGCTTATCGAATGATGGCCGCCGCTTGGGTAACTGCTTAAATGCGTACGAATGCCGTCAAAAGGGTGGACAGGCCAAAGGCGAGTGTGCCATGGGTTTCGGCGTATGCTGTGTCTTTGTGGCCACTTGTAATGGAACCATAAGCAATAACCTGACATATATTGTGTCGCCGGAGTTTCCCAGTTTTATGCCCAGCAACTTCACTGGTTGCCAGCTCAGTGTCAAGATGATGAGTGAAGACATAAGTCAGCTGCGTCTCGATCTATATCACTTCTCCCTGGGTCAACCCAATCGACGTACCGGCGTTTGCGATGGAGACGTCTTCAATATCACCGGTGGTCCCACTGGACCTTTTACGCTCTGTGGCCAAAACAGCGGACAGCATTGTGAGTATATCAGTCTTACTTGAAGAGTGCTCGAAAAATACTCTAAACCCAGCGAGAATAACCGTATCAAGCATCTATATAAAATATATGTAATCCCTTTTTAAATATCTATAGTATACTACGATGTGGGAGTTCGCGCGCTGCCACGTCAGACAACGTTGTATGGAAGTCTGCGACCGCCAGCTGCTACAAACATGAGCACCTTTAATGGTTACAATGGTGTGGAGCAGCTCATTGAGATCAGTATTAATCTATCGACACGCTTTCTGCCTATTCGATTGTGGGAGATTCGGGTTGCACAGATACCCTTCAGTCAGCGCGCACCGGCGGGATGTTTGCAATACCACACCGGAGTAGAGGGCATTATGCAGACTTTCAATTTCGCTGACAACGGAAGGCACTTGGCCAACCAGCACTATCGCATCTGTATGCGCCAGGAGTCCGACATGTGCTCCATCGTGTATCAACCCTGCGATGAGCAATCCTTTCGCATTGGTGGAGGTGGTGGCTCATTTATGTCCGGCATGAACACTGAGGCGAGCAGCAGCAGCAGCTCTTCCAACCCCTGGCAACCGGAGGTGCCATCGACGACGTCCATAGCTGATAATACCACACCCACAAATACCATGGCGACGGGCAGTTTCATGCAAACGATCAACAATTCGGTCAATAGCCCCACAACGCCAGCGCCCGCGCAGCCATTAAATAACAACGTCAGCACAGTAACAACTGCAGCAGCAGCTGATGTCACATCTGCAGCCAGCAGCACGGCAGAAATGACCACACCAATTCCTTCACGTTCCAGTACTGTGCCTGCCATGAGCACTGCTGCAGACGAAACGCCTTCGTCTTCACCCGCTAACGATGACGCCGAGGGTTCTGGTGGGAGTGAAGACGATAACATTATAAATCTGTCTGGCGCGACAACAGAAAGGCTAGGCGTCTCAAGACGTCCCCGTCCAGTGGGTGGGGGAGGTTCCTCGGGTGGATTCGATCTGTTGGGCTTCTTGCGCAGCGCCTTTGATTTACACCTCAGGCACCGTCGTCGTCGTCAAGCACGTCAATTCTTTAGCACATGCACAGATCGCATAACGATGCCGTGCATCATTGAGGATTTTATTGGCACGGGCCTCGGCCCCTTGCCGGGATGTGAACCGGTGCACTGCGGCGCCCAGTTTTGTTCCTCAGGTGTTTGGCCCTGTCGCATTGAGAGCACCGTTACACCTTTTTACATAGGAGTACATTTTGGAGATGGAAATGTCGAAGGCAAAGGAAGTGCAGAGGATAACATTGGCGCCTGTCTACGGTATTCCCAGGTGCAGTGCATCTAAGCAGCAATTCTACTTTGCCCAACTTTTATTTCGTTTTAGGAAATGCCTTGAATAACATATTTATATATTATTTAAGTATTACAATTGCTAGCTGTATTTATATAACATTAAATTTGCTGTGGATGGATGCGAACGAGTTATTTATGGCAGCCAGATCGACACTTATCAGAACCACGCTGGTCATGTGCATATTGGAAATCTTCGTCCGTAAGGAATCTTTTTTAAAAAGAAATTTAACTATACCCTAGAAAAATTCGGCAGATGCAGCATATGCCCTTGGACAATGTTGCTCCGCATATTTTTCATAAGCGGTACTTGAACCCACCCTGTTAATCTGTTTGGAAACGTCGTTCCACATGTGAACTAAATACGAATCCTTTGTGCGTGCCAGCGTCTGCTTCACTAAATTTGGATCAAAGAAATGTCGCCAATCCTCCCAAGGTACCGCATAAAATGCATTTCGGTCAAACACCTTGAAGCCCAGGCAGCGATTTTCGTCCTCCATCATCAATGTGATATTTTTAGTGCGACAAACCTTTTGTACTACACGTGTTATGACACCAGGTCCATTGTTGGCCCAGGCACCACCATCGAAATGCTTCTGAAAGTCACGTAGGCAAGATTCGGCAAACTCATGTCCAAAGCCATGAGGCGCCATGCTCATGACACCACTGGCAACGTGAGTATCAGACTCGGCGCCTGCATAGTTCAGGGGCATATCCTCCATGCTGCGCAATACCACCACGTCCATGTCCAAATAGATGCCACCAAAGCGATAAAGGCTTATAAACCGGAGCAGATCAGATATGTGATTAATCAGAAAGCTAAACCAAACGAATACATATAGTTATTTACGAAGTAGAAAACTAGCTACGTCTAACCTCGAGCTAAACAGATGTCCATATTTTACCCAATCCTCAATAGGTGTACCGGTCGCAAATCGTTTAAGATTCAATTGACGGAGCTTCACATTCGTATAGCTTAGAATTGCATCAATGATCGGCTGCTGGTGCTGGCTGCTGTTCTCGTAGTAACGATAGGTGGGACCAGCGAACAGGACAAACACCTCAAAAGTGGGATTATGCAACGCTGCTGACTCAATTGCGCAAGCCTGACGCGCCGTCAGCTGTAACATGTTGTTTATCATCTCTGGTTTTGGCCTGATAACGCGGGTGGTCTCGATAAAAAATATGGTGCGTCCGGGTTTTGGCTGAGGTTCCGTCAGCAACACATCGTTGAGTGGTCTGGGAACATTTGTACTAATGGATTGTAGATTTGCTTGCTTCCATGTGAAATATGTCATCGCCTTTCCATCGTCTCGTTGGTATGTGTAATTAAGAATTGTTCCGCCTACAAGCAGTCCAAAAAGCGCTAAAATTAATTTTATTCGAATCTTTGCAAGTAACTTGAATGGAAAAAACGTCAAACGTAATGTCATGTTGATGCCGCGAGATGTATGCCAATACTGGGAGTTAACCAAGCCCAAGCGTATCCGAAAAATGAGTATTTCTGTTGGCACACTCTATCTAGACCAATAAAGAAATGGACCTTATGAAATTGCAATTACATATGTTACGCTAAGTAATATAAACGTATAAGATATGAATCATATGAATCAACCTAATACCAGGGCGGCAAACCTCAAATGGTTTGGCTTACGGATTATACCGACTTGCTATCGATTGGTGAACCTGGTTTCCATGTCTTTAAACGCTGGTTTCAATTTTAGCCTTAGTTTATAATATATTTAAGATTAATTCAATGGCTGGGGTAAGATTGGTTTTCGGCTGAGTCTCCATTTTTCATTTAAGCAAAAATATCTTTGACAAAATATGGCTCGCAGTAAGGTTCGGTTTATATTATAAAAATTATTTGGAATTCCTGTACAAACCCGGTTTGTTTCTGAGGCGTTTTAAAGAATTAGATTTTCGCATTCTTCTTTGATATCTACTTAATAGATCTATAATTCTATCATTGCAGACATAAACATTTAATTCATCGCAGTTAACAAAAAAAGATGATGAGAGATTTCTATTACAAAAAATACCAGTAGAAATTACCATGCCAAATATGTATATATAATTAAATTAGTAATGGTTGTATAGAAACGGAATATTTATGGATCAGCTTTTGCCTTTCGCTGGAGGAAAGCACACTTTAAATTTTCAGAAATCACTCTCAAACAGATATTAAAAATCGCTCTAAAAATATTTACCCGCTGCGGCATACGACCTTGGGCAATTTTTTTCTGCATACTTGCCATAGGCAGTTCGCGTGCCGACTTTTATGTGAAATACTTTGGAGAGCTGGTTCCACATATGCACTAAGTACGAGTCCTTCGTGCGTACCAGCGTCTGTTCCAAATATTGCGGCTGAAAGAAGTGGCGCGAATCTCCAGGGGGAATTGCATAAAACGCAGTACGATTGAACACATTGAAACCCTGGCAACGTGTGCGATTCTCCAACATCAGTGATATATTCGCGGTGCCGCAAATCCTCTTTGCTACGCGTGTGATGACACCAGGTCCATTGGTGCCCCAGGCACCACCATCGAAATGCTGCTGAAAGTCAAGTAGACAAGATTTAGCAAACTCATGTCCAAAACCAGTTGGCGCCATGCTTAAGACGCCATTGGCAACGTCAGTATTAGACTCGGCGCCTGCATAGTTCAGGGGCACATCTTCCATGCTGCGCAATACCACCACGTCCATGTCCAAATAGATACCACCAAAGCGATAGAGGCTTATTAACCGGATCAGATCAGATATGTGATTAATCAAAAAGCTAAACCAAACGAATACATATAGTAAGTTACAAATTAGGAAACTAGCTACGTCTAACCTCGAGCTAAACAGATATCCATATTTTACCCAATCCTCAATAGGTGTACCGGTCGCAAATCGTTTAAGATTCAATTGACGGAGCTTCACATTCGTATAGCTTAGAATTGCATCAATGATCGGCTGCTGGTGCTGGCTGCTGTTCTCGTAGTAACGATAGGTGGGACCAGCGAACAGGACAAACACCTCAAAAGTGGGATTATGCAACGCTGCTGACTCAATTGCGCAAGCCTGACGCGCCGTCAGCTGTAACATGTTGTTTATCATCTCTGGTTTTGGCCTGATAACGCGGGTGGTCTCGATAAAAAATATGGTGCGTCCGGGTTTTGGCTGAGGTTCCGTCAGCAACACATCGTTGAGTGGTCTGGGAACATTTGTACTAATGGATTGTAGATTTGCTTGCTTCCATGTGAAATATGTCATCGCCTTTCCTTCGTCTCGTTGGTATGTGTAATTAAGAATTGTTCCGCCTACAAGCAGTCCAAAAAGCGCTAGAATTAATTTTACTCGAATCTTTTGAAGAAACTTGTGAGGAAATAGCGTCAAATGTAATGTCATCTTGATGCTGCGAGATGTATGCAAATACTGAGAGTGTTAGCCAAGCAATAGGCGTATCCAATTAATGTGTATTTGTTGCGCTCCCTATAGCTAGACAAATGACTTAAATGGCTTTTTGATATTGTGCTTACACATGTAACGCCTAATCGAAGATATGTAAACTTAATAGATATTATGAATCAATTTAATCTACCAATGCATACAATTAAAATTTAGGTTTGAGAAATAAATATTATGTTTTGTGACTTTATAGTTGGACTTTGGGAATTAATTTCGATTTTCGCATTATTCCTTGCATAACATAACATAACATTAGCAATAAAGATATTGCGGGAGATTTCTGCTTCAAAAAACAAACAACATTAAATGTTCCTAAGCTTTAATATCATTGAAAAATATACCGTGATAAATAGGTTCAAGTAATTAAATTGATAATTAATAATTAGCTGTGCCTGGATGGATTCCCGTTTTTCGAAGCACTCTCTGAAACAGTTATTTATATTTTATCTAAAAAATATTTATCCGCTGCCGCAGCCGCTCTAGTGCATTTTTTTCTGCATAGTAACTTGCCAAAGACAAATAACAAGCCCACCTAGATGTTAAATATAACTTTAGAGCGCTTGTTCCAAACATGCTCCCAGTACGAGTCCTGCATACGAGTCCATGCAAGCGTCTACAGCAAATATTGCAATTAATTAGGAAATTGCATCAAACATTATATGGTAAGTCAATAGGCGAATTACAATTGAACACATTGAACCAATGGCAACGTTTGTGATCCTCGAGCAAATCCTTTATCCACGCATGATCACATCATGTCCATTTTTGGCCCGGTTACCACCAGCGAATTATTGTTCAAAATAACTCAGAGATGACTTGGAAAATACGTGTCCAAGCCCAATGGTAGCTCTGCTCAACAATCCATTGGTGAGTGTAAGATCTGATGCCTGCATAGCTTAGCGGCACATTCTCTACGCTGCGCAACACCACAAGTTTGCGTAATTAGGTGAAATTTAAAATGTATCTCACCTTGAATGAAACAACAATCTTTTATCCACTAGAAAAGATTAAATCAACTTATTGGCTGTTAGTCCATAATTTATTTGAAGTTAAAACAATAAGAAGGTTAAGCACAAAGAATAAAGAGCTAATGACTGAAATTGTGGAACGCTGCTGACCCAATTGCGCAGGCCTAACGCGCCGTCAACTCCAACATATTGTGATTTTATACCTTGAACCCATTGAATGTTTTAATAAAGGGTAAATGGTTTTGCGCAAATGCATATAAGCAGAGGGAAGTGGTTGTGACCCCATCAGTATCAATAGCCGAGTGGGTCTAGCCATGTCCGTCTGTAAGTATGTGCGAACTCGTCTATCTCGGAATTCATAAAAGCTATAAAATAGAAATTTTGATCGTAGGTCCAGCTAGTGCACGCAAAAAACGAGTTTGTTTACGATCACCTTGCTCAATTTCTATAAAATCGATATGGAATTTACGTTTTTTAAACATATCCCGTAGTTTAAAAGATATATAGAGATATCAAATTTGATATGTAGATTCTTGCGTAGCATACACAGATCCAGAATAATTCATTTTTTGGATACCTCCCTTGTTCTTGTCTTTACACACACTTGAATGCCATTATTATGCCCGAAAATTGTTTAGGGATCGGACAATAAACACCGAAACATATAATGAAAGCATTTAACATATCAAACAAGCTAGAATGTTTGTGACGGTTCCCTTGCGCGGGCTTCAGGGCTTTCCTAGATGGGCACTCCCGACTAAAGTACTCTTACTTGATTTTTACAAATTGTATAACTCAGGGCAGCAAATAGTCGTAGATAAATAATGAGGCGGTAATAAGAATAAGACTTTTTTACATTTTTTATTATTGAATATTCACAGACATTCACAGATTAATATATTTCCCATATTGTACATATAAAGGTTTGTATACAAAAGAAGAACTTTTAAAATTGGTGTACAGAAAACAAATTACATCTGATTTATAAAATTAGCTGAGCTCTGTGTACTGAGATTCGAATAAATTTAAAGATTATTTTTGAGTTGTATGAAATTAGAATATATAATCTATTAAAAATCCATTAAATGGGACAGTCAAAAACACATTTTATTTGAATACCCTTGCAAACAGAACCATAATTTAGTATTTATAAAGTATAATCATGTGTATAAATATATATGAAATTTTGTATCTATATATTTTGGTGGTGAAAAGTTGCGGCCAAGGTTATCCGATCGGCTTTAAGTTTTGTTCAATGCTCACAAAAGAAAACATTTTTTGTAAATTTGTGTTATTTCGGTTGAAGAGTCTCGGGGGCGGAAAATTGGCTAAAAGGTGAAGTCTTAAAGTTGAAGAAAAAACTTTATTGGACGATCCGCGCTACTCACATGAAGAAGAACAGAGCCATTTAACAATACTTATTTCGAATTGGTTCGTAATTGTTTGCAATGATATTGAGTCTTTGACAAGCCAAAGCTATAGATCCATGTAGATATTTTCATTTTAAACTCATTTAAATTTAATTTTTTATATACATGCATGTCACACATTTAAGTATATTTTTCGTTTTTGTACGTTATTTTAATGTAATAATGTGATGTAATGTAATAATAAGAAGTTTTAAAAAAATAAATAAATAAATGGAATATGTTTGTTGGGTCCGCTGAACCAGCAAATTTGAAAAATACAACATTTACTGCTTTCTCATTTTTGTGCCGACTAAATGTTCGTAACTCATATAAAATTTGGAATGCGCGTTGCTAGCATATTAAACAATTTAACTTAACTTACCTAAGTCTCTCTAACTCTTTGGTATGTTGAACTATATTTCAATAGCTTTTTAGAAATATTCTCCCGCTGCTGCATACGCCCTGGGACAATGCTGCTCTGCATACTTGCCATAAGCGGTACTCGATCCGACCTTGATGGCCAGCTGCTTGGAGTGCTTGTTCCACACGTGTACCAAGTACGAGTCCTTCGTGTGTGCCAGAGTCTGCTCGAGCAGCTGTGGTTCGAAGAAATGTCGCCAATGCTTCCAGGGTACAGCATAAAATGCATTGCGATCGAATACCTTGAAGCCAAGGCAGCGTTTCCGATCTTCCAGCATCAGTGAGATATCTTTTGTGCCACAAATTTGTTGTGCCACACGCGTTATTACTCCAGGCCCATTGTTACCCCAGTCACTACCATCGAAATGCAGCTGAAAATCCCGCAGGCAAGACTCGGCAATCTCATGACCAAAACCAGTGGGGGCTAGACTCATTACACCAGCGGCCAAATGTGTATTAGACTCGGCGCCCGTAAAGTTTGGCGGTACATCCTCCATGCTGCGTAGCATTACTACATCCATGTCCAAATAAATACCGCCATAGCGATATAGCGTTAGAAATCTAAGAAAATCTGATATATGCGAGAAAAGATAGCTGAAAGGCACACATTCAGATACAGGCTCGTAAGTCAATTATTAAAATCTGGTGTTACTCACCTTGACCGAAACAAGCGGCCATCCTTTAGCCACTCCTCAATGGGCGTGCCGGCCGCATAGCGCCAAAGATTTAATTGTCGAAGCTGCACATTTTTGTAGCTTAGAATGGCATCGATGATCGGCTGCTGGCGTTGGCTGCTGTTGCTGAAGTGTCGATAGGTGGGACCAGCGAACAGCACAAACACTTGAAAATTCGGATTATGCAATGCGGCAGATTCGATGGCACATGCCTGGCGCGCCGTCAACTGCAACATGTTATACTGTAATTCAGGACTTTGGCCATGACGCTGTCTTCTGCGTTTTGGTCTGTGACAACTTGTTTCATGAAAGAATATGCTACGGCCAGGTATTGGCTTGGGATCTGTTGAAAGCACGTCTTCCAAAATTTTTGGAACAGGCACAATAGAGTCCGTCAAAGGGCCAATGGATGTCGACTCTGTTTGCTCCCTGTCAATAAAACACAGCTGCACATCCGATTGCCATCTATAATTTAAGAGTATTCCGCCCAACAGCAGGACAATAAGCGCTAGGAATAGCAGCCGCAGCCGTCCATTGTGCAGGAAACGCGATAACAATAGCGGCAAACGTAGTAACATGGCGATGCAGCCTAATCATAAGGTGTATACATACACACACTTGGATAAATGTTGCTTTGATTATTATAAATATGTACCTGAGCAATTTGTTGTATACTTACTCAATATTTATTTAAGCAATTTCATTGCGTTATCATAATTGCACAGCTGGGTAAATAAAATGTTTAAATAATGTACACATATATATCTATACAGAATTTAAGATCGGTTTAGTTTACTACTGGAATCAACGTCCAGAGGCGGAGAGTATGTATCTTGCCTAAAATATTAAATAATTAAGAAATAAAACTCGAATAACAGTTCCAAATGAGTAAATTCTTCAAAATGAGTGTTTGCGGACTGTGGAGGTTATTGTTTAGTATAGTTCCGTTTGTAAAAAAAAGTCTAAACAAGTCAATTTTTGTTACTTAATCTGTGTAGTTTTACACAAGGAATCGATTTCCGGTGGTGTAAAATAGTTATATTGCCTTGAAACTACAATTGAAGAATACAAAACTTGTATAGCAGCGCCAAGTGAGTAAATTCAAGATGACCTAAAAAATGTCTATTATCGGCAATACATCAAGCTGAGCGGTTGATAGTTTTTAACTATCGATTACACATCTTAATAAACATCGTATAAAATTCTTACGTTCGCATTCAAGTAACATTTAATTTTAATATAGCCGCTAAAGTTTTTGAGTTGGATGGCAATGCTGCACGCGAAAACAAGAAAACTAGAATCATCCCTCGTCGATTTGCAAGTGGCCGTCCGTAACGATGAGGAGTTAAATAAACTGGTTTCGGGCGTCACCATTGCCCATGGCGGTGTTTTACCCAACATCCAAGCAGTTCTGTTCCCCTAAATATGTAAGACAAACGAAC